CCATCACAGTGAGCGCTCATTTCATTGGTTTCCCTCCTGCCTCCTCCTCGCCTTCGATGATGCTACTGGTCTCCTCCACCGAGCTGCATGCTCGGATGCGTTTCTCGCTGTCCTGAATGCCCGTCGCCTCGGACGACCCGCCCAGGCCGAACTGGTGTTTGAAGCGCGCCTCCGCGTCACCGCTCGCAGACACCCCAGGCTCGCCGAGGTCTGGAGCGACGCTAGCGTTTGGGTCACTCGCCGTTTGGCGAGGGCTGGGGCCCCGAGGAGGGGAGCGCTGCCGCCGCGGGTGCGTGGCACCCCGCGCGGCAGGTGGGTGCTCCCTTCGGCAGGGCTGCCCCCCTCTCGCCACGGCCGAGTTCGGACTGCTCGACCAAGGAGTCGACCGCCTTCCACAAACCCCCCCAGAAGCCCCGAGGGCCCCACAGGATAAAAAAAAACTGCGTCACCCCAGCATGCTCATACGATGTGTGTGCGTCGCCCCCCCCCGTGGGCGACACGCGCTCCGAGAAATCTTACAGTATATGAGCAGTGGCGGGCGCTTTCTGGCCACACCGCTCGGGAAACGATGCGCTACAAGATGGGTATACCATATGTTCGGGTCGGACGCGCGCCACCAGGGAGGACGTACACTACCAGCATGCCTCTCTGCCTCCCACTGACAAAGGCGCCCCCGTCCGTGGCTGAGGAGCCCGTCTCTCCCGAGGCTCTCGTCGCGGACCGTAGGCAAGCGCTCGACCAGGGCCTGCTCGTCCCTGCGCCTCGCCTCGGGACCCTCCTCCTCCTCCTCCTCCTCCTCCTCCTCCTCCTCCTCCTCCCCCCCTTTCTTTCTCCTCCTCCTCCTGCTCCAGCCTCCTTCTCCTCCTCCTCCTCCTCCTCCTCTTCCCCCCTTCTTTCTCCTCCGCCTCCTCCTCTTCTTCCTCCTCCTCCTCCCCCCCTTCTTTCCTCCTCCGCCTCCTCCTCCTCCTCCTTGCGAGGATGACTCTGACCCGTGGCCGTGCTCGGGGGGCCAGCCCTGCCTCGGCTGCTGCCAGGCTGGCCGCCACTTGCCAGCCTCCTCGCTCGCGGCCCGTGCTGCCTGCAGTGGAGGCCCATGCCAAAACGCACCCTGCTCGCCTCCAGGATGTGCCCTGGGTCTCCTGGTCTTCGGCGGTGAATCTACAGTGCCGTTTTTATACATGCTCTGCGAGCGGATCATGTATTAAAAATGCAGGGATTGAGAATTAATTACCCCAGTGCGACCCTACCTAGAAGTTGGAGCCCCTAGGAAAGCAGCACTAGTTGCTATATTATATGTTATGCCATGCTATGCTATTCCATGCTATGCTGCGCTATGCTATGCTACTCTATGCTATGCTATGCTATGCTGCGCTATGCTATGTTATGTTATGATATGTCTTGCTGCGCTGTGCTATGACAAGCTATGCTATGCTATGCTATGCGAAACTGCGCTATGCTATGCTATGTTATGCTATGCTTGGCTATGCTATGCTATGCTATGCTATGCTATGCTAAACTGCGCTATGCTATACTATGCTATGATGGGTTATATTAGGCTATGTTATGCTATGCTAATGCAGCGCTGCGCTATGCTAAGCTGATGCAAACTAAGCTAAGCACAATTAGCCCTCTAGGCAGAGCCTCGGTAGGGAATTACACCCATGCTAATGCTATGCTATGCTGCGCTGTGCTATGCTGTGCGGTGCTGTGCTGCGCTATGCTATGCTATGCTATGCTATGCTGCGCTATGCTGTGCTATGCTGGGCTTTGCTATGATATGCTGTGCTGCGCTGTGCTTTGCTACGCTCTGTTATGCTATGCTGTGCTCTGCTATGCTAGAGCTCGGCAAAGCTAAGATGAAGGTAAACTGAGCTACGATAAACCTGAGCTAAGATGAAGCTAAGCTAAGCTAAGATGAAATAAGCTGAGCTAAGATGAGATAAGCAGCGCTAAGCTAAGGGAGCGTCACTGGGGGTACCGCGAGGCGGATCCTGGGGGAACCGCCCGGGGCGGGTTCCACTGCCCGGCCCTTTAAGCCCACACAGTAAGAACCCTTCTAGGCAGAGCCTAGGTAGGGAAAAACAGCGACGAACTCATGCATACATTTATCCATACATTAGTCATGTATTACACATCCAATGCTTTTTTTTGAACATCCCATGTATTAAAACAACTGCCCTGTACATGGAAAGCGCGACGCCCCCACGCCGAAATCATCCACGGACGTCCTGCGGGGCCTCCGGGTTCGGCTTCTCGTGGAGGGCTTCTCTTGTGGACATGGCCTCCACCGCACGGTGCCCTCTCCATGGGCAGGATAGCTCGGCCTGCTGACCCCCCGGCCAGCCGCGCGGGCCCTGGCCCCTGCCTGTGGCGAGAGAAGGGCACGAGGCAGGCCGTGCCTCTGCTCCCCCCGGGGCCCTCGGCCGGGCTCGCCCTCCGGCCCCTGGCTCCCGCGCCCCCTGGGCGCCCGCGGCCTGGGCTGGGCCAGCTGCCCGCCGCGCTGCCCGACGAGCACCGTCGGACTCGTGCTCGTGCCCGGGAGGTCGCTCACAGCGCGCGACCTCCACCGTGGGCTTGACTCTTGGCCCCCTCGGTCCTGCCTCACGGCTCGCAGAAGAGAAGTCCTCTGCCTCTCCCTCTCTCTGATCCTGGGCGTGGCATGGAGCGTTAGGCTACGCTCCTCTCTGCCTCACTCGACGGGCTGCCGCGTGGGGCGGAGCAGCAATACCAGCTCCGCTGGCACCCCGGGAACAGCAGGCCAGCGCCAATCGCGCAGAAGACGGAGTGGCAGAGTCAAGGCCTGCGGAGCCAGCATGCAGAGATACAGAAATTGCCGTTGGTGCCGCCGAAGGCTGCATTTAGAAAAGACCAGCTCGGTCGTCCACTGCAAAGGTGACTTTGCCGATCTCAAGCAAGCCTTCAGGCAGCCGTTTCGGAGCGCTCCTCTGCCGGAACCATTTTTAGATAGATACCTCTTTCCCGTTTGACCGCCAGAAGTTTCGCTTGACATTCCCTCATTATTTCTGACCCCGAAGGTTGACATTTCCAACATCGCTCTCAAGATGTGGCTCTCGCCTTTGGGGCCGCGCACAGTCGTGTTTATAACGTGTCCGACAGCTCCAAGGAAACGGAGGGTGGTTCCTGTTCCTTTCGGACGAATTCTCGCTTGGAGAAGTCACGACGGGCGCCCTACCAGATAAGCAGCACACAAACAGTAATACTACTACTAATAATGTTACTAATAGTATGGATCAGACTAGTGACAATACTTTAAAATAATCATGATGATACTTATAATCACAATCATCATCCTATGGCTAAATGTAATGTTGATATGTGTACGGTCAGGAACGTACGCTCAGCGTGTCGCTCCGCTGGTTCTTGGCCACCGCGCTTCGGCGCGACTGGGGTCTGGTTCGGTCGGCGGCTGCCTTTGCGGCGCTTCTTCCAGGCCCTGCCGCGCAGAGAGCCGTGTGCTCGTGGGCAGGGTTCCCGATCACGCTTGGTCCCTCACGGTTTCTGCCCGTCGTGGGGCCCAGGGGGCTGCGCAGAACGATCCCGCCGAGCCGAGCTCTCACGAGACGGCCCTTGCACTCTGGCGCGCTGGCGGGTCCCCAGCCCAGGCCTGCAGCGTCTTTGGGCCCCGGGGCTTGCGAACAAGAGCAGTCCGCGGCGCAGGGCTGACCTCGAAGAGATCGGGCAACGAAATAGATACATAGCCACTGCCCCCTGGCCAGGCCCCTCGAAGGGCCCAGGAGCTGTTTATGCGCCCTCCTGGCCAAGACGGGAGGGCGTGGCGCATGCACTGCTGCTGGGTTCAGGACGGGCTTGGCCGGGGAGTAGTGGAAATGTGTAGATCGACAACTGCATACATCTAAATTTTTGAAGGAGGGGGAGGAGGAGGGGGAGGAGGAGGAGGAGGAGGAGGAGGAGGAGGAGGAGGAGGAGGAGGATGAGAAGGAGGTCTGAGGGCTCCAGGGCCCGCGTCGTCGGAACACCACGGCCTCGGGAGCCCGGGGGGCCTGCCTGGGGCCGGCTGGCTGCTCGCCAGCGGCGCTCCTGCGGGGGTGGGGGCGGCGGTGTGGAGGAGGAGGAGGAGAGGAGGAGGAGGAGGAGGAGGAGGAGGAGAGGATGAGAGGAGAGGAGGAGGAGGAGGAGGAGGAGGAGGAGGAGGAAGGAGGAGGAGGAGGAGGAAGGAGAGGAGGAGGAGGGAAGGAGGGGGCGAGGGAGGAGGAGGGGCGCAGGGAGGAGAGGGAGGAGAGGAGGGGAGGAGGAGGAGGAGGAGGAGGAGGAGGAGGAGGAGAGGAGAGAGGAGAGGAGGAGGAGGGGAGGAGGAGGAGGAGGAGGAGGAGGAGGAGGAGGAGGAGGAGGACGAATAATAATACTAATAATAGTATTAATAAGAATACTAATACGAAGAAGAATAAGAAGAATAATAATAAATAAGAAGAAGACGAATAATAGTAAGAATAAGAAAACGAATAATAATAATAATAAGACTACTCGGAATAATACGAATAAGAAGAACACTACTAAGAATAATAAGACGAATCATACTACTAATACTAAGAATACTAACACGAAGAACAATAATAATACTAATACGCATAATAAGAAGAATACTGAGACTAATAATAATAAGAAAAAACATAAGCAGAAGACGACGAATAATACGACGAACAATACGAATAATACGAAGAATAATAAGAAAACGAATAATAATAATAATAGTAATAATAATAAGACTAATAAGAAGAAGACGAATAATGATAACACTAAGAAGAAGAAAAATAATAAGACGAATAAGAAGAAGACTCATACTACTAATAATAATAATCTGAAGAAGACTACTACTAAGAACAATAAGAATACTAATAAGACGAAAAATAATAATAGGAACAATAAGAAGCATAATCAGACGCATAAGAAGAATAATAAACATGATAATGATAATAATAATAATAATAATAATAATAATAATAATATTACTATTAAGAAGAATAAGAATAATAATAATACTACTGATAATAATAATAATAAGAATAAGAAGAAGAATAATAAGAAGAATAATAAGAAGAAGAAGACGAAGAAGAATAACAAGAATAATAGGAATAATCATACTAATAATAAGAAGAATAATAAGAAGAATAAGAAAAATACTAAGAAGAAGACGAATAATAATAATAAGAAAAATAATAATAATACGAATAAGAAGAAGAATAAGCATACTAATAAGAATAATAAGAATAAGAATAATAAGAATAACAATAATAATAAGAATACTAAGAATAATAAGACGAATAATAATAATAATAAGAATAATAATAATAATAAGAAGAAGAAGAATAATAAGAATAATCATAAGAAGAGGAGGAGGAGGAGGAGGAGGAGGAGGAGGAGGAGGAGGAGGAGGAGGGGGGCGCAGGGGTCGTGGCGGTCGCAGGACTCACTTCGACTCCTCCGATTCGATCCGATTTTTCTATGGATTCCGACTCCGATTCGATTCGACTTCGGATTCCGATTTCGGCCCCGATTGCATGGAGGAGAACTAGACTGCCGATGTCTGCCGATTCGGCTTCTCCCGACTCGGCTGCAGATTTCCGCCGATCCGATTCGTTTCGATCGCCGATCCGACTCGTCGATTCGATTCTGGGCTCTCCTGCGGGCGCACCCGCTTCGTCGCAGGGGGCGCCTTTCGGGTCTGGACGGTGAGAGCGCCGCAGGAAAGTCGAAGACAGCCACGCGGACGACCATGATTCAGGAGGGAAAAAACACACAGACACAATTAATCGTCGACTCTCCAGAAAATATGGGAAAATATGGGAAGTGGGGGGGAAGACAAAAACACAGAAAATATAGGAAAATATGGCGAATCCTTTTCTTTGTGTGTATTCATTTGTACGTTCTGGGGCCCCTTCAAGTTTCCGTGGCACGCCCTCGCCCCGGCCTCCCCGGCCGTCTGGGCACGGGGGGGTGGGCGCCAAGAGGGCCCAGCCATGGCGCTGGACCGCGCAGGATCCTGCAACGCCGGGCGCTGGCCGAGCCGGGTTTTGGCCCTACCCCCGACGAGGAGAAAACCTCATAAACATAAGCTTTTGGCGCGCCGCTCGGATTTCCTGGATCGGCGCATGGGCCCCCCGACGGCGCCTCGGGCGCCGCCCCTGGCGCGCTCCGCGCGCAATGCAGGGGGGTCCAGCGCAGATCCAGGAAATCCGCGCGGAGCGCCAACCGTTTATGTGTATGCTGTTTTTCCCAACCATCCTGTGGTGTTGGGCCCTCGTTTTGAAGAGACGGTCCCCGCGTTCCTCTCCTCTTCTCCTCCTGTTCCCCCTCCTCCCTCCTCCCTCTTCCACGCGTTTCACCCACCCAGCACAACGTTTCGTGGCCCCATAGGGAGCTCCACCGACGCCCCCACTGGGACTCCCAGTGCTACCGCCCGCATGCGTTCCCCCCGTCCAGAACAGCGCTTCGTGGCGCCATAAGGAGCTTCACCGAAGAAGATATTCGCAATTGCGGTAGTTACAACTTCATATGGTTGGGTCCCTCGCCGGGATAATTTTATACATGTTGGCTGAGCGGGGCCTGGGAAGTATCCAAGCAATGGCAGCGCAGTGTTTCAAGATTGGCCGAGCCGGGTCATCGCCGAACGCGTCGTTCCGCCCCGCGGCCCTGGCCGCTCTTCGTGCGGCTCGTGGACCGCCGTATGTTTTGCAGTTCGCCTCGTTACCCGTTTCTTTTGGTTTGTTTTTTTTGTTTGTTTTTGTTTGTTTGTTTGTTGTTGTTTCCCCCAACCATCCTGTGGGGTTGGGTCCTCGTTTTGAAGAGAAAGCGCCCCGCGTCCCTCCTCTCCTCTCCTCTCCTCTCCTCTCCTCTCCTCTCCTCTCCTCCCTCTCCTCTCTCTCCTCTCCTCTCCTCTCCTCTCTCCTCTCCTCTCCTCTCCTCTCCTCTCCTCTCCTCTCCTCTCCTCTCCTCTCCTCTCCTCTCCTCTCCTCTCCTCTCCTCTCCTCTCCTCTCCTCCTCCCCGTCCTTCCTCCTGGGTCCTCGTTTTGAAAAGACAGCGCCCCGCGTCACTCCTCTCCTCTCCTCCTCCCCCTCCTCCTCCCATCCGCCTCGTCACCTCCCTGCGTGTCACGCAACCAGTACAGCGTTTCGTTGCCCCATAGGGAGCTCCACCAAAGGCTCCAGTGGCAGGGCCCGCATGCGTCAACGCCACCCCGGACAGCGTTTCGTGGCCCCATAGGGAGCTCCACCGAAGGCTCCAGTGGTAGGGTCCGCATGCGTCAACGCCACCCAGGACAGCGTTTCGTGGCCCCATGGGGAGCTCCACCGAAGGCTCCAGTCGCAGGGTCCGCATGCGTCACCGCCACCCATGACAGCGCTTCGTGGCCCCATGGGGAGCTCCATGAAGGCTCTAGTGGCAGGGTTCGCATGCGCCAACGCCACCCAGGACAGCGTTTTGTGGTTCATGAGGAGCTCCACCGAAGGCTCCAGTGGCAGGGTCCGCATGCATCAACGCCACCCAGGACAGCGTTTCGTGGCCCCATGAGGAGCTCCACCGAAGACTCCAGCGGCAGGGTCCGCATGCGTCAACGACACCCAGGACAGCATTTCGTGTCCCCATGGGGAGCTCCACTGAAGTCTCCAGTGGCAGGGTCCGCATGCGTCAACGCCACCCAGGACAGCGTTTCGTGGCACTATAGGGAGCTCGTATGCGTCAACGCCACCCCGGACAGCGTTTCGTGGCCCCATAGGGAGCTCCACCGAAGGCTCCAGTGGTAGGGTCCGCATGCGTCAACGCCACCCAGGACAGCGTTTCGTGGCCTCCACCGAAGGCTCCAGTCGCAGGGTCCGCATGCGTCACCGCCACCCATGACAGCGCTTCGTGGCCCCATGGGGAGCTCCATGAAGGCTCTAGTGGCAGGGTTCGCATGCGCCAACGCCACCCAGGACAGCGTTTTGTGGTTCATGAGGAGCTCCACCGAAGGCTCCAGTGGCAGGGTCCGCATGCATCAACGCCACCCAGGACAGCATTTCGTGTCCCCATGGGGAGCTCCACTGAAGTCTCCAGTGGCAGGGTCCGCATGCGTCAACGCCACCCAGGACAGCGTTTCGTGGCACTATAGGGAGCTCGTATGCGTCAGCGCCACCCATGACAAATTTTCGTGGCCCCTATAGGGGGCTCCACCGAAGGCTCCAGCGGCAGGGTCCGCATGCGTCAACGCCACCCAGGACAGCGTTTCGTGGCCCCATAGGGAGCTCCACCGAAGGCTCCAGTGGCAGGGCCCGCATGCGTCAACGCCGCCCAGGACAGCGTTTCGTGGCCCCACAGGAGCTCCACCGAAGGCTCCAGTGGCAGGGTCCGCATGCGCCACCGCCACCCATGTAGACACACCCCTCACACGGTTCGTGGCCTCATAGGGAGGTCCACCGAAGGCCCCCGTGGCAGGGTCCGCATGTTTCACCGCCAGCCATGACAGCGTTTCGTGGCCCCATCAGGGGCTCCACCCCAGGCCTTAGTGGCACCGTTCGCATGCGTCTCCCCCGCCCAGGGCAGGGCAGTGTTTCGTGGCCCCGTAAGGAGCTCCACCGAAGGTCCCAGTGGCACTGTTCGCATGCGTCTCCTCCACCCAGGGCAGCGTTTCGTGGCCCCATGAGGAGCTCCACCGAAGGCTCCAGTGACAGGGTCCGCATGCGTCAACGCCACCCAGGACGGCGTTTCGTGGCCCCATGAGGAGTTCCACCGAAGGCTCCAGCGGCAGGGTCCGCACGCGTCAACGCCACCCAGGACAGCGTTTCGTGGTCCGACAGGGAGGTCCACCGAAGGTCCCAATGGCGCAGTTCGCATGCGTGTCCCCCGCCCAGGACAACGTTCCGTGAGCTCCACCGAAGGCCCCAGTGGCGGTGCCCACATGCGTGCGCGCCACCGATTTCGGCGCACTCCTCGCACGTTTCGTGGCCCCAACGGGAGCTCCACCGAAAGCGGTACCCGTAATGCGGCAATCGCAGCTGCATATGGTTGGGTCCTTCGTCAGGCTGATTTGTTTTTTTTGTTTCGTCTTCCTCTTCTTCCCCAGGCGAGGGGGGAGGGGCGGCGCGATAGCGCGAAATTGTTCCAGCTTCGCGCTTTGCACAGGGCGAAGCGCGACCTGAGGTGCCCTTGCTCAGACCATGGATGCCACTTGTTTTGCTCCACACCCGAGGTCACCGTGAGCATCGCGGCGAATATCATGGTAATGGTCATGTTGCTGTTGATCATTAGCCACTTCATCAGTTGCGCCCCTAGTCTCTGTCTGCAACTGTCCAGCAGCACGTCGTCCCGCTCTCTCTTATCCCTCGTGCGCCCCAATGCCATTCTCCTCCCTCCCCCTTCTCCCATCCCTGCTCCCTTCCCCCCCCACTTCCCACCCTTTTCCCCCTCCCCTCAATGCGGCTCCAAGTGCCGACGGAACTTTCCAAGAGTGTTCCGCCATTGCCAAAGTCTTGCCAGCGCTTCAGAAACAACACGTGCTTTTTGCATTCTATCTTGAAATCTCGATTGGGGTGTCGAGGCCTCGCTCGAGCTTCAACAAGGCCCTAAGAACCTCCCAAGCGCTCCCCAGGAGAGCGCAACAACGCCCCAAACCCGTCCCAACCAAGACGGCCCCATAACGATTTTTTGGGCTCTGGATGTGCGGTGCCGCCTCCCCTCTTCTTCCCTCCCTTCCTCGTCCTCCTCCTCTCCCTCCGTTCCTCCCCTTTCTTTCTCCACCCCTTATCCCCTCTCCCCCCTCTCATCCCTCTTCCCTACATGTCTCTTTCTTCGTTCTCGGGCTCTCGTGCTGGTCTTCGTTGGGGTGACAGGCTGCCTTGCTCGCTCACAGCGGCAGTGCGTCCATGCAGCGATTGCATCTCCTCCGTTTCAGCCTTGCTTCCTTCCCCCCCTTCCCACCTCTCCTTGCTCCCTCTCTGTCGGCAACTACTCTGCCCCTGCGCCCCCCGCTGGTGCATAACAGTTGGGATGGGGAGAGGGGGCGAGCACTTCACTATGTGAGCACCCCCCCGCATACACCCTTGTGACTAAGAGGAGGTGGGGTGGGCGGGGGAGGAGAGAGCAAGAGAGAGAGAGAGAGAGAGATAAAACACACTTATCTTGGTGCGCATACGTGCCCCATCTGTCTGTCCGTTTGTCTGTCAGCCCTCTCTCTCTCTCTCTCTCCCTCTCCGCGCAGATCGGGAGCACCACTGCCGAGTCGCCACGCCCTCGTCTGCTTTCCAGTCGTAGTCTTTTCCTGACGGCGCGGGGGGGGGAAGTCTTTCAGTGCCCCCGTTTCTACAAGCGGCTCCTCCCGCCAAGGACGAGAGGGCAGGGGCGCTCGTAGCCCCCCCGTTGATCAGACCTGGTCCGAACTCTTGCGCTCTCTCTCTCTCTCTCCCCCTTTTTTTGTTCTCTCTCTCTCTCTCTTGATTCTCTCTCTCTCTCTCTCTTTCTTTTTGTTTTCTTTCTCTCTCTCTCTCACACTCTCTTAGTCCAGACATGCATCCCGATCTCGGCCGTGCGACAGCGATTCTTAAGTCCTGCGGCTGCCAGATCCTCGAACCTGCCGCTGCTGAGGTTGTGCCTGGTTCTACATCAGCTACAACTGGGATGGTGACGACCGCTGGCTGAGCGTCCACGACATGGTTGACGCAGCCTGGCCAGCCCACTACTTTGTTGCGGGGAGGAGGAGGAGGAGACGGAGTTTGTGTGTGTATATATATATATATATATATGTGTGTCTTCGTGTGTGCGTGTGTGCGCGTGTGTGCGGGTGTCATCCGCAACTCTGCCTTCGCTGACCCGCACGCCTGCCCGCTGACCCGCCGCGTGAGGGCTCGGTGGGCCGCTTCCCCGCGCAGTCCTGCAGCTGCCAGATGGGCTGCTGCTCAATCCGTTGCGGTGACCTTGGATCGCCCGCGGGGCTCTTCGCCCCAGCCACGTGCGCTCAAACATGAACAAAAAGCCAGGGCATGTTCGACTATAGACGTAAGAGTGACCTTTCGCCGGAGTGACCTTTGGTGCGGGCACGGATGGGTACCCAGATGGCTGAAAACGAAGCAGTAGCAGCCGCTTGCGCACCCAGGTTTAGTCCCCCCGCGGCCCCCCCAAAGTCGCGCACCAAAGGTCACTCTTACCCAGGGTCACTCTTGCGTATAGCCGACATGTGTTCGTTTGCTGTTTTTTTTTGCCCCTCCTCCCGTCGTGCTCCTCCGTGACCACTCCGCGGCAGGCTGGCGGGGTGGGAGTGGTACGCCGGGAGACAACAGGGGGCGCGACGTGTCCGCGTGTGTCTTCGCTCGCGCTTGCATGCCCACGTCAAGCATCGCTCCACAGACCGCGTTCTGTGGCCGCAGTCGCCCAGGGGCGAACCGCGCCCTCCTTGAGCAGGCCCCGAAGCTTGACTCGCCGGGGTGTCCTCACTCTGAAGCCATCGCGAGGAGGAGGAGGAGGAGGAGGAGGAGGAGGAGAGGAGGAGGAGGAGGGAGGAGGAGGAGGAGGAAGGAGGAGGAGGAGGAGGAGGAGGAGGAGGAAGGAGGAGGAGGAGGAGGAGGAGGGGGAGGAGGAGGAGGGGAGGAGGAGGAGGAGGAGGAGGAGGAGGGAGGGAGGAGGAGGAGGAGGAGGGAGGAGGGAGGAGGAGAGGAGGAGGAGGAGAGGAGGAGGAGGAGGAGGAGAGGAGGAGGAGGAGGAGGAGGAGGAGGGACATTCCTCGAAGCGAGTGCGGAAGCTTTCCCGCCCGCCGCCTCCTCGGCCTCCGGAGGCGGGCCTCCGGCCCCCCGGCCCGGCCCTGCCTTTTTTTTCGGCGTCACCCCGACATACCTATACTATACCCCTCCTCCTCCTCCTCCTCTCCTCCTCCTCCTCCTCCTCCTCCTCCTCCTCCTCCTCCTCTCGCTCTTCTTAGCCCGGCCCTGCCTTTTTTTCTCGGCGTCCCCCCAACATACCTATATCGGGCCGAACGAAAGGGGGGGATAGGGCAAGGGGAGGGCTACGAAATCTGCTGCATGCAGCCGGTTTCGGCCCCGCCGTCGGGCCCATGCCTCGATACGTGGGCGCCTCCCGGCGCCGGGAGGCGCCTGGAAAATCAGTTACGTGAGCTGATTCTCACCCCCCCCTTTGCTATCCCCCCCTTTCGCCCGGTCCGACTATACTATATGTGCGTCGCCCCCCCAGGGGCGATGCGCGCACCCAAAAATCTTATGTCGTGGCGGGCGCTTTCTGGCCACGCCGCTCGGGAAACTATGTACTATACAAGATGGGTATTAGTATATGTTCGGGTCGAACGCGCCCCTCCAAGGAGGACATATAGTATTAGTATGTTTCTGTGCGTCTTTTGCCCGCCGGGCCTGGTGGCCGCACTGTGAAACGCCAGCCAGTCGGTCGTCGGACTCTGGTCAGTCGGAGTGACGGTCGTCAATCGTCATCGTCAGGGAACGGGGAATCGACCCTCGGTCCTCGGTGATCGTTGCGACGGTCGGCGGGCGGTCGTCGGCGGTCCTCGGGCGAACGTGGGTGCCCTCTCGAGGAGAGGCTGGAGCGCTTGTCTGGCGGCCTGGAGCACCAGTGAGGTTCATCGGACGCTCGGCGGAGGGGTCGCGGTGGACCGCGGTGGGTGGACTGGCTGCCGCTTGGGCCTCGTCGCTGTAAACTGCGTTGTGCGTCGGCGTTCGATTCGGCGGACACTCGTCGGACAGTTGTCGGCGGCTTTCAGGTCGGCGGAAGGTCGTCGGACGTCGTGGGGTCCTTCGGTATTGAGCGGACCCTCGTAGCTGATGTCCCCGGGGGTCGGCGGCCACTCGCGCGGAAGGTCACGTCGGCATGCGTCAGGGGGGACAACGCGGAGTTCAGCTGGATTTTTGGCCTGGCCGCCACGCTGGGCGGGGCCGCAGGTGGTCTTCGGATCTTCGGACATTCGGCAAGAGGGTCGTAGCGAGCCGCAGTGGGTGGTCTGGCTGCAGTGTGGGCCTAGTGGCCCTCTAGGCAGGCGCCCATGGTTGTCGTCGGACTGTCAGGGGGGGAATAACGGAAAGAGCGAGGTACGAGTGATGACGTTCTGGTGTGGGCGAAGCCCTTAAGGGGCGGGGTCCAGGGGGGGGGAAGGGGGAGTGCAGTGGTCTAATGACCGTTTTTGGCCGTTTTCCCTCGGGTTTGTATGTTTTTCGGGTTTCTCCCCTTTTTTCCCCGTGGCCAGCGACGTCGGGGCTGGGCGTTTGGTGGCCTCCCTGTTCTGCGGGTGGAGGGGTTTCGGCGTGGAGAGCGTCTCGAAGGTCACGCTGGGCTTTTGTTGTGTGATTCCGTTGATTCTGTAGGTCTTCATGCAGACCGCTGCAAGGAGGATGGGGGTCATCCTGGGCGGCGGGGGGGCTTAGGATGTCAGCGCGGAGAGCTCGGAGATCGTCGTGGATCGCGCGAAGATCGGTGCGGAGGACGCGGGGCTCGTGCTTTGTGATGTCTCCATTTAGATCAGCCGGCCGGTCGGCAGGGTCAAGGGCAGGTGGATCAGGAAGAGCCTGGTCGTCAAGTACGGGGACTCGACAGATGCAGTTCTCGTGCTGGACGAGCCGTCGACGCGCGCATTCCGTCGTGGCCGAAGCAGGGGCGGTCGCGAAACCTGCCGCCCTGTGGAGTCAGGCGCGCCGGGGCGCCGAAGAAGTCGCGGGGCCCAGGCCTGGGCCAGTGGGGCCGGCCAGCGCTTCGGTCCTGGTGGACCTCTCGAGCTGCCGTGCGTTGGCGCTGAGCTCTAACCCTGGTGGGTGTGCCCGTAAGGTTCGGCGGTGGCTGCAGCGGTTAGGATTCAGTTCAGGGTCCTCGGGTGGCAGCTGTCCTTTCCGAGGTAGCGGGAGGGTTAGATGACCGCGGCGTTCCGGGGATCCTCCGTTGGTGCCGCAGTCGCTGGTGCTCCTGCTGGCATCGGAGGTTCGCGCTGAGGCATGGGCGCGGGTTTCCACTGGATGCGACTGGCGTGTGAGGTCTGTGATCGGCCCCGTGAAGCGGAGGCGCGTTGCGGACGCCCAAGTTTGTGGCGTCAGTGCGGGTGGGAGGAGCGGCGCCGTCGCCCCGCTGGCCTCGACCGTGGTGTACATCTGCTGGTGCGGTGTCGCGGTCAGTGTTTTTTTTGTGGTGCAGCTGATTTCCTCTTCTCGCGCCGTCTCGGCTCGCCCACGGGCTCGAGGGTGTCGGGGCGGCGTTGTCGGCATCTGCTGGCGAGCTCGTCCTGATGCTCAGGCAGGCTCGCTGTGAGCCGCGGCTGCGCGGCCGACGCCACGCCGCTCTGTTCCGGAGTGCGGCGGCGCGGGCTTTCCTCTCTCGGCTGCGGCTGCAGTGCCTTGCCGATGCGCTCGGGCCACCTCGCGGCGGCCCTCGCCTTTGTGGCTTGGGCTGCCGCCGGATTTCTGCAGCGCACGGCGCGGGCGCCGGGAGCCACTGCGGCGCGCGCGCGCGGGGACGTGCAGGAGTCTACTAGGGGGACACATGCGAACCCTACCCCTGCCCCCCACGATTTCTGAGGGGGAGGGTGGGGTTCACTTCGTTCGGGAGCTCCCGAACGAAGTGAACCCCCCCCTCCCCCTCAGAAATCGTGGGGGGCAGGGGTAGGGTTCGCATGTGGCCCCCTACTGATGCTTGGGCAGGCTCGCTGTGAGCCGCGGCTGCGCGGCCGACGCCACGCCGCTCTGTTCCGGAGTGCGGCGGCGCGGGCCTTCCTCTCTCGGCTGCGGCTGCAGTGTCTTGCCGATCCGCTCGGAGGCCACCTCGCGGCGGCCCTCGCCTTTTTGGCTGGGGCTGCCGCGGGATTTCTGCAGCGCACGGCGCGGGCGCCGGGAGCCACTGCGGCGCGCGCGCGCGCGGGGACGTGCAGGAGTCTGTGGCACGCAGCAGCCCTGTGGCGAGGGCCGCGTGCCCAGCCTCGCCATGCGCCCTCTCTCTCTCTCTCTGGACGGAGCGCCGGGGGCTTCGTGTCTCGGCCGCGCCCTCCCTCCGAGCCGAGACCCGTTGGCGGGGGAGCGGGGGAGCGGGGGAGCGGGACTCCAGCACAGCAGGTGCGCGGGCGAGCGGGAGTTGGTAGTCCCCAAACGTGGTGGTGACAACACCTGGCGGTGAGTCTCGGGCGATTTGGTGTCACCACCCGGTTTGGGGACTCGTGCAGTTTTCCGAGGATGTCCCGGATATTGGTGGGTCCAGGAGTCACAAAACCCGGTGGTGACCCCGCGTCCCCAAAGCCAGCGGTGACCTTTTTGGAGATTCCAGGTCGCCACCTGGTATCTCACCACCCGGTTTGGGGGTTCCCAAGGGAGAGCTGGGCAGCGTGGGGGTGCGGTCGGTCGGTCGGTCTGCGTGCCGGACCTGGTCGCCAGGGCTCAGCTCTCCACCTCTCCCGCGCGCCCGCTCGCCCGCTCTCTTTACCCTCCCGCCCCCCCGCTTTCCCGCTCTCCCGCTCTCCCGCTCCCGCTCCCCCGCTCTCCCGCTCTCCCGCTCTCCCGCTCTCCCGCTCCCCCGCTCTCCCGTTCTCCCGCTCTCCCGCTCTCCCGCCCCCCCGTTCCCCCGCTCTCCCGCTTTCCCGCTCTCCTGCTCTCCCGCTCTCCCGCTCTCATTCCCCCCTCCCGCCCTCCCCCCCTCTTCCCAGTTGGCGTCCAAGTATAACATTGAAAAGAGGGTTGCCGAAAGTATAACATTGAACATGGAACATCTTCGGAATAACAGTTCAAACCATATATGCCAGAGGTAGATCTTAGTGGGGGACGATCCTTTGTATGTGTACATATACTTATTAGTAATACATCGGTATATGTATATGGATGGTCATGTCCAATTCTACGACGGTACTCCAGACGTTCCGTATTGCGTGGTGCACCTCTTCAGGAGTATGTTAGTTCGGTTTTGCAGTTTGTTTCTGGCTCCTTCGTGTTTCGCGTTTGCGCTCAGCGGACAGCATCGTGCGGTCGTCCAGCAGTATGCAGTGCATCAACGTCGATGGTACAAGTCTGTTATGAGAGCGAACGCGTGTGTATATTGATGAAGTGCGTAGGTACTACCAATACGCTACGGCGATGCACTGGTCCATCACGCAGTTCACGCCCGCATCGATGCAGATTGTCCCGCACAACATGGCGGAGCGTGTCTTCACGGCGGGGCTGGACCTTATGCTTCGGGCGTTGTTACATTGATGGTATTGGCTGGGGGACTGGAACGTTGAGGCGCGTGTAGATTCGTGTCAGCTGTGTCTTGGGGGGCGGAAGCACGCGGTCTTTCTTGATACGAGCGTTTGCACGGGACCGCCGCTGACACGTGTGTTCGCCGCTTGTCGGTAGAGGGAGCTCAACGATGCAGTCAGATGAGCTCCGCCCATCTCCTCCTCCTCCTCCGCAGTTGGTAGAGCGAAGACAACTCGGGGCTCCTGGGGGGGGGGGCTCGCCTTGCTGTGTGGAACCAGCGCGCACTTCAGGTCGTACATATCGAATTCATCGATGTGTGCAGTCGTGGTTGACCCCTCTTTCGACCTGAGGCCCGCAGCAGGTGCCATGCCATGCCTCCTCCTCCGCCCGTTACCGGCGGGGTCACCGCTGCTCACCTGGCGACCCCAAGGTCGGACGACGGCAGCTGCAAACACCGACGCCGGTCTCCTGGGCCCAGCGCTGGCGTGTGCGCCGTCTCGGCCAGGAGGAGGCGGCGGAGGAGCAGGCGGAGGAGGAGGAGGCGGAGGAGGAGGCGGAGGAAGATGAGGGAGAGAGGAGGAAAAAAAGAGGAAGAAGGAAGGAAGAGGAGAGGAAGAGGATAGGAAGATAATCATAATATTAATAAGCATAACAATGATAATGCTAACACTACGTTTACGATTACGAATAATGAGAATAATACGAACACTAAGACTAATCATTATAACACTAATCATCATAATGTTGAACATAATACGAATAGTAACACTGATAGGACTAATACTAATACTAATACTAATCATAGTAAGAGGAATACTATCAGGACGAATGCTACTAAGTATACGGATAATCCCACGAAGAAAAATATGACGAATCATAAGGCACATAGTAATAATAGTTATACGACTAATAATAATAGTATTATTAATCATTTTCATGATTAGTCGCAATAGTTGTATTAATCATGCCAATATCAAGAATACTGCGACTAATAATGCGACTGAGAGTAATAAGAAGAATACTAGTACCAATAAGATCAGGAACATACGCAGAAACAACATAACACTAATCATACTAATGATCAGAGGAGGAGGAGGAGGAGGAGGAGGAGGAGGAGGAGGAGGAGGAGGAGGAGGGGGAGGAGGAGGAGGAGGGGGAGGGGAGGAAGAGGAGGAGGAGGAGGAGGAGGAGGAGAAGGAGGAGTGAGGCGTGTGCGCTGGTCCTCGGCCCGAGGCTGGGCCTGGACCAGGTCTCAGTGGCCACACGTGTGAACCCTACAGTGGGGACCCATGCCAAGAAACAGTGCCTCCAGGACCCCTCCCCCGTGTTGGTGCCTCGCGCGCCGCGCCTCGGGCGCTCTTCTCGCGCCAGGGAAGAGGAGGCCGGTGTCGATCCAAGCAGTCCGCGCGGAGCTCCAACAGTTTATTCTTACGCTTCTTTTCTCCGGGTACATTGGGGGCCCATGCCAAGAAACACTCTGTTTGCTTCCAGGATGTCCTGGGTTTCTTGGGTCTCGATGGTTTTGCTGTGGAAAGCGTGACATTTCCACACCACAAATCAGTGGACGCCCTGGGGTCTCAGGGTTGGGTTTCTTGTGGAAGGTTTCTTGTGCACGGGCCCCTACTGTACCCCCACCCCCCACGATTTCCAAGGGGGAGTGGGGGTTCACTCCGCTCGGGACCTCACGAACGACATGACCCCCCCCCCCCTTCTAGAATCGTGGGGTGTGGGGGTAGGGTTCACACGTGGCCACCAACAGCTTGGCGTTGGTGTGTTGCTGTCTTCTTTCTCGCTGTCGTGTCGAGAGAGCAGGACAGGGAATGCTGATGCCAGATATTATGGCATTACATCGTGGTGCGATCATGGCCGTCCCGTTGGCAGGCGGAAGCGCGGACGTAGGATCCGCTACGCCCTTCAAGCGCGAACGTGCCAAAAGAGGTAAGCTCATTCTAATTCTTCGTGGTGTCCAGAATTAGAGTAGCGTGTTCTTTGGGATGCAGCCTACTTGCGCCGCGCTCACCTGCGAAGTGCTAGTACCAAGTGGATATCGATTCAAGATCCTGAAGCCGAAATGCACGCTGTCCGTTTCCTCTTTCTCTCTCCGTTCTTCATTTTGCTCTTCCGCTATTTCTTCCTGTCCCACTCTCCCTTTTTCTCCCCTCCTCTTTGTCCCATCCTCCTCGTCCTCCTTCGTCCATCTCTGTCCGTTCTCTCCTCTCCTTAGTCTCCCTCTGCCAGTTCCTCTTCTCTTCCTCCTTATCTCCCCTGCGTCTCCCTGCTGACTCCTCCTTCCCTTACTCCTCCTTGCCTTCCTGTTCTCCTTCCCTCGCTCCCACGCCCCATTCTCCCCTGAGATCCGACGTTGCGAAAAGAATCAACGTCGCAAACACTCACGACCAGAGATTGATCTCTTGCATTTTTCGGGCCAGATCGACCTGTGATGGTCAAGGGCCCGAAACTGAGCGAGAGTGCCGGTTGTGCGGAATTGCGACGCACGATCCCAGGGTTTTCCTTCCCCTCGCTTCCCCCCGACGCCTCCTCGAGATCTGCGTGGTGGTCTTCGCCCTGGTGGGCCTCGCCCTCATGCTCCTCCTCCTCCTCCTCCTCCTCCCCTTCCTCCTCGTTCCCTTGCTCTTCGCCTTCTCTCTCCCCTCTCCCCCCCTCCGCCCCCCTCTGCGATGATGATGATGATGATGATGATGATGATGATGATGATGATGATGATGATGATGATGATGATGATGATGATGATGATGATGATGGTGGTGATCATGATGGTGGTGATCATGATGCTGATGATGCTGATGATGATGGTGATGATGGTGCTGCTGATGATGATGGTAATGATGGTGCTGCTGCTGATGATGCTGCTGATGATGATAACGATGCTGCTGCTGATGATGATGCTGATGCTGCTGTTAATGCTGATGATGTTTATGATGCTGTTGTTATGATGATGTTGTTTATGATGATGACGATGATGATGCTGATGCTGATGATGCTCATGATGATGATGATGCTGGTGCTGATACGGATGATGATGCTGCTGCTGATGCTGATGATGATGATGCTGATGATGCTGCTGCTGGTGATGATGTTGATGCTGTTGATGATGATGCTGATGATGATGCTGATGATGCTGATGATGATGCTGATGATGACGCTGAGGTTGACGACCATGATTATGATGCTGGCGCTGCTGATGATGATGACGATGATGGGGATGATGCTGTTGCTGATGATGATGCTGCTGATGATGATGATAACGATGCTGTTGCTGCTGCTGATGATGATGATGATGCTGATGCTGCTGTTAATACTGTTTATGATGATGATGCTGATGATGATGATGCTGATGATGATGGTGCTGCTGCTGATGATGATTTTGAGGATGCTTCTGCTGATGATGATGCTGATGATGCTGGTGATGATGGTGGTAACGATGCTGCTGCTGATGATGATGATGATGCTGACGCTGCTGTTAACATGATGATGTTTATGCTAATGATGCTGTTGTTTATGATGATGATGCTTATGCTGATGGTGACGATGATGCTGCTGGTGATGGTGATGGTGATGATGCTGATTATGATGATGGTGGTGATGACGATGATGATGCTGCTGATACTGATGATGATGCTGATGGTGCTGATGATGATGGTGCTGATGATAATGATGCTGATGATGATGCTGATGATGATGATGATGAGGCTGATGATGATGCTGATGATGCTGATGATGATGCTGACGATGCTGATGCTGAGGATGATGCTGATGATGACGCTGATCATGATGATTCTGTTTATGCTGGTGATGCTGCTGATGATGATGGTGATGATGCTGCGGCTGCTGGTGATGTTGCTCATGAGGATAACGATGCTGCTGCTGCTTCTGATGATGATGCTGATGCTGATGCTGCTGTTCATGCTGATGAGGATGCTGATGCTGCTGTTAATGCTGTTGGTGATGCGGTTGTTTATGATGATGCTGATGATAGTGATGATGATGATGACGATGATGATGCTGATGATGATGCTGCTGATGATGACGATGGTGATGATGCTGATGATGACGGTGCTGATGATGCTGGTGATGCTGGTGATGATGCTGATGATGATGCTGATGATGATGCTGATGCTGATGATGACGATACTGATGATGATCATGATGATGATGATGATGCTGCTGATGATGATGATGATGAGGATGATGATGATGATGATGCTGAGCATGATCATGATGCTGATGATGATGATGCTGATGATGATAATGATGATGTTGACGATGATGCTGATGATGATGCTGATGCTGAATCTGATGATGATGCTGATCATGACGCTGATGATGACGATTATGATTATGATGCTGGTGCTGCAAATGATGATGACGATGATGGGGATGATGCTGTTGCTGATGGCGATGATGCTGCTGCTGATGATGATGATAACGATGTTGCTGCTGATGATGATGCCGATGCTGCTGTTAATGCTGCTGATTTTTATGCTGACGATGATAATGCTGTTTATGATGATGCTTATGCTGCTGATGATGACGATTGTTATGATGATTCTGCTGATGATGCTGATGATGATGATGCTGATGCTGCTGACGATGATGATGCTGATGATGATGATGATGATGATGGTGCTGATGCTGATGATGATGATGGTGATGATGATGCTCAAGATGATGATGATGATGCTGATGCTGATGCTGATGATGATGCTGATGATGCTGTTGCTGATTATGGCGCTGATACTGATGACCATGATTATGATGATGGTGCTGCTGATGATGATGCTGCTGCTGATGATGATGATGATGATGCTGCTGATGATGATGCTGCTGATGATGATGACGACGATGCTGATGCTGATGATGATGATGATATTGATGACTACGATGATGATGACGCTGCTGTCGCTGCTGATGATGATGATGATCATGCTGATGCTAATTGTGCTGGAGATGATGATGCTGAAGATGATGCTGATGATGCTGATGATGCTGATGATGCAGATGATGATGCTGATGCTGATGATGATGCTGATGATGACACTGATGCTGTTGATTATGATTATAATGATGGTGCTGCTGATATTGATAATGGTGATGATGCTGCTGCTGATGATGATGCTGTTGATGATGATACCGATGATGATGCTGATAATGATACTGATGATGATGCTAATGCTGATGATGATGCTGATGATGATGATGGTGATGCCGCTGCTGCTGCTGCTGATGATGATGATGATGATGATGATGATGATGCTGATGATACTGATGATGCTGATGATGATGATGGTACTGATAATGATGATGCTGCTGACGATGATGATGATGATGATGATGATGATGCTGATGCTGCTGATGCTGCTGATGATGCTGATGATGACCATGAGGATGAGGATGATGATGATAATGACGCGGATGATGATGATGATGATGATGATGATGATGCTGACGATGATGATGATGCTGATGCTGATGATGATGATGCTGATGCTGGGGATGGTGATCATGATGATGATGATGATGATGATGATGGTGTTGATGATGATGATGGCGATGATGATGACGATGTTGACGATGCTGATGATGCTGATGATGATGCTGCTGCTGCTGATGATGATGATGATGATGATGATGATGATGCTGCTGATGATGATGATGATGATGAGGATGATGATGATGATGGTGATGATGATGATGATGATGAGGATGATGATGATGATGATGATGATGATGATGATGATGATGATGATGATGATGATGATGATGATGATGATGATGATGATGATGATGATGATGATGATGATGATGATGATGATGATGATGATGATGATGATGATGATGATGATGATGATGATGATGATGATGATGATGATGATGATGATGATGATGATGATGATGATGATGATGATGATGATGATGATGATGATGATGATGATGATGATGATGATGATGATGATGATGATGATGATGATGATGATGATGATGATGATGATGATGATGATGATGATGATGATGATGATGATGATGATGATGATGATGATGATGATGATGATGATGATGATGATGATGATGATGATGATGATGATGATGATGATGTGATGATGATGATGATGATGATGATGATGATGATGATGATGATGATGATGATGATGATGATGATGATGATGATGATGATGATGATGATGATGATGATGATGATGATGATGATGGTGGTCCCTCCTCCTCGAGATCTGCGTGGTGGTCTTCGCCCTGGTGGGCTTCTCCTACGTGGTCGGCAGCATCACGGGCAGCCTGACGCAGCTGCGGAGCCTGCACGAGGAGCGGCGCGCCCCTCGCGGGGCCGACCGCCTTCTGCGCCCCCCCCTCCCCCCCGCTGCTTCCCCGCCTCTCCTGGAGGAGGAGGGGAGGAGAGAGGGAGGGAGGGAGGGAGGGAGGGAGGGAGGAAGGAGGGCGGGCGGGGGGCGGGCGGGGGGCGGCGGGCGGGCGCGGGCGGGCGGCGGCGGCGGGGGCGGGCGGGCGGGCGGGCGGGCGGGCGGGCGGCGGGCGGGCGGGCGGGCGGGCGGGCGGCGGGCGGGCGGGCGGCGGGCGGGCGGGCGGGAGGAGGAGGAGGAGGAGGAGGAGGAGGAGGAGGAGGAGGAGGAGGAGGAGGAGGAGGAGGAGGAGGAGGAGGAGGAGGAGGAGGAGGAGGAGGAGGAGGAGGAGGAGCCGGAGGTGGGAAGACGTTGCGCCTCGGGGGTTGAGGTTTTCGGGCGTTGTCGGGCGGTTCTGGCTTTTGGGTGCCTTCCAGCGGCTGCGCCTCGCCAAGAGTGTTCTGGGGGTGCCAGATCGTCCAGAACGGCCGCCAGAGCGTTGAGTTTTGATCCGAAAGCCAGGGGGGCAACGCAAGGGGGGGGACTTGCTCGGGGGGGGGGTCGACCCAGAATCGCCGATGAGGGGGAGGGCGGCGGAGGAGGGAAGAGGAGGAGGAGGAGGAGGAGGGGAGGAGGAGGGGGAGGAGGAGGGGGAGGGGGAGGGGGTGGGGGAGGGGCAGGGGCAAGGGCAGGGGCAGGGCAGGAGCAGGGGGAGGGGGAGGGGGAGGGGGGGATGGGGGAGGGGAGGGGGAAACCGTAGCCATTTTGGCTCAAGCCATCTCCCCTCTGTTCGGAGGGGGTCAGGGCTCGAGCGGCGACAGCGCCTGCATAGCGTCTCGCCCACACCACTGACCAGGGCCACAGCTGGGCCGTGGGAGTGTACTGAACCTCCTTCAGTCATGGGAGGCAAAAGCGAGGGCAAGGGCAAGAGCAAGGGTAAGGGCAAGGGCACGAGCTCGGGCCCAGACCGCCGCCAACAGCCCCCGCCGCAGCAGGTGACAGTCGATTATTCATGGACATGCGCTATCTGCGCAGCGACTACGAACTTACTGCATGCGTGGTGCTGGCAATGCGTGTCCCATGGGAAACCCAGAAGGAGGTCGAACAGAAGCCAGTGCCGCCCAAGAAGAATAAGTCAGAGTCGGGAACTTCCTCAGCTCAGAAAGCGGGACCGCAGATCATCCGCCTCCAGCAGCCCCTGGACATGTTGAAGTCTATGGAGAGCAGCGCGGAGTCTCAGGAGTCGAGGAGGAGCTACGAGGAGACCATCGCATCCCAGGAGGTAGTGGTGAGAGGCCTGCGAGAAGAACGTGACTCTGAGACGTCTGAGAGCCGGCTCACCCATATGGCGTTGTCAAAGCTGGTGGAAGCACCGGCTCCACTAGCGAATCACAAGGAGTATGTGGAGAAGCAGGAGCAGGCCCTGGCAGACTTAGAGGTCAGGCATGCACTGCTCAAGGCAGATTTAGAGTCTGCCCGCGTCCACAAGACAGAATTAGGCTTACGTGTGTTCAACCTGATGCGAGAACCTTTGGCGGACCCGTACGCTCTGCCGCCAGGCGTCTCGCATCCCATCTTCGAGTCGCAGCAGGAGGGGCTGGGTGAGGCCTTCGCCAATGTTGCCAAGGGGAAAGGCAAGGGTCAGATCAACGCCGCCACTTTCTTGCAGGGTATGCACACCTTGCGCAGTGCCTTCAGCCCCAGCTGCTGGAAGGGTTTAATGTGCAGATGACGGTTTTCGCAGCCCAGATACGTGCAGCAGGTGAGCTTGAGGAGGTCCAGCACAGACATGAGAGGATTGACGAAGTTGCAGCTGAGCAAGCAGCAGCGACTCCACGCTCAGAGGGAGCTGAAGATACCCCCATGCCCCAGGCGCCACTCTCTGAACGGCGTGCAGCGGAGTCGGAGGACGAGGCGGTCGCCAGGCGCAGATTCACGGAGAGCGGCGAGGCGGCAGAGGCTTCGCGACCACGGTCGCGGGGGTAACATTCAATGTTCGGCTTCCAAGGGCGGGCTGCAGTTCCTCACGATCAATGGCGACAGTTGCTCTACTGCGCCTTCGCTAGAGTGTGAGGCTCGTATGAAACTAGTTCAAGAACGTAAGCTTCACGGTCAAGGTCTCAATGAGGCCAGAGAGAGAGAGCGTGCGCGAGCTAGGCTGGAAGAGATTCTGGGCCCCGTGTTGCGTTGCGCGGAGCTTGGGGCGTTCGGCGGGAGTTTGCGTGCTGGCGCGGGCGCACCTCGACCTTTGGCAACAGCCAGGAAGGGATGCGCCTCTCGTGCCTCATCGTCTGATTCGGTTTTCTTTCGACCCAAGGCGCTTGGCATCATATCAATCTACTGTGGGTGTTGGAAGGACGGGGAAGGATTGGGCCCGACCAACCTACGCATTGCCAGCGTCTTGGGAGAAGACATGCTACGCAATGCTACTCCTTATGTAGTCGGTAGAGATTTCAACTTGGAGCCTAACGTGTTCAAGGAAGGACTCGCGCCCCACAAGCTCAAAGGCCAGCTGGTGGCGCCCTCGCCGACTATCGCATGTGCAGCATCCGGCCCATGCACCTGCTTCGACTACTTTCTGGTTGGGAAGACACTCTTACTGTGTATCGATGAGGCGAGAACGGGGTTGGGCGTCCACATCTATCCTCATCGTCCTCCCTAGCGCTAAAGCAGGGCCTGGGCAAGATCACAGTGAAGGGGCTTCGCCAATATGCACCACTTCCCGTTGACTTGCCAGTGGGACCTGCTCCAGAGCCCCTGAGCATGCTGATCTAGGCGTGCGCATGGATGCCCTCTTGGAGCCCCTGGAAGTGGAGGGGGGCTATCGTCTCCCCACGGGCCCAGAGAAGGCCGCTCTTCAGATTGGTCTGGATGAGGTCTATGGGGAATGGTGCGATCGTGCTTGGAAGGAACTCGAAGGGGCCCTGCAGTGCTACCCTGAAGGACTCCGTGGAGGTCCTGTGTACACCACTGTCGATATACCTTTGGGGGAACTCTTATGTGCTAGAAGGTCACCTACAAGGGGCCCCTACCGAGCACTCCATTGGCTTGCCCGTCGCGCACACGAACTATATTCATTTGTACATAGCTGTTACTATCTTACACAACCAGAATAGTTCAGATCAGTCGTGCATTCGACTTGTGAGTCTACTTTCCCTGGAGGGATGTTTAATTATCGTTATCCTGGTGGGGAGTCTCTCTGGCTTGGTTTCCTCCAAGCTGCTCTGGTGCCTCTACATTGCGCTGGTTTCATTTTTGCGTGCAGGACTTGTTGCTGAGTCTTTGTTCTCTCTCCCTCCCTCTCTCTCTCTCTCGCAGTTTGCGAATGTGAATGCCGAAGCTTGTTTGCCGAGGGAGCGCAAGGGCCGCGCCCAGAAGTGGAAAGACTGGTGCACGGAGGCGCTCGCAGGGGGTGCCAAGTGGGCCCATGGCTACACCAAGGCAGCTGAGGCGAGGCGCCAGGACATCGTTGCCACTGATAGTGGCAGCCACACCTCATGCTTGACTGCTCAGATGGAGGAGGAGGTTACTTCATGGTCGCAGGCTTGGGGGGAGGAGGGGCAGGAGGGGCGGGATCCTTGGCTGGCCTGAAGACATGGTCTTCCCGAAGGCCCCAGAGGTCGACGAGGTGATTGCCCTGGGCAAGAGTTTTCAGAGGTCAACGATTGCGGCAGATGGCTTTCGCCCACGCCACTATCATTTTCTTTGCAGACCAGCAGCAGCTCTGCTGGGGCAATTTATGTGCCTCATGACGGTGATCGGAGCAGCCCCCTCTTGGATGCGCACTCTCCAGATAGCACTGATTCGGAGGCCAGTCGTTGGGCGTCGTCCCATGGGTTTCTTCCAGCCGGTGATCAGGATGACCTCGAGGTGGCATTCCAGTGGTTGTAAAATCTGGGAGAAGCGCGTCCGGGCCGGGGAGTTTTCTCCATGGCGCCGTCCAGGAGCCCAGCAGATACCGTTTGGAGACAGACGGTCCGTGGATATCTAGCTATAGGGGAGAAGAACCATGTGCTTTCGCTGTTGGGGGACCTCAAACAATGCTATGAACATGTGCAACATCCTCAGCTAGTTCGCGCGGCTATAGATTGGAAGTTCCCATTGCACTCTCTAAGGTTTGCACTGCGTACATGTGGGTCGAGGAGGATACTTTGCATGGATGGGATGGTTTCTGATCCTATTGAGCATGGGCAGGGGATAGTGGCGTGAAGCAGCGCAGCTACATTTGAAATAAAATGTTACTGCGTACCCAGCGTGAACGCCTACCTAGAGCAAGGCTTTACCCCTACCCTGGCTGTGCATATAGACGATTTTGGTTTCAATGAGTATGACGATTCTATTGCGAACTGTGTGTGCAGAACATGGGCATGGCCGTTGCATTCTTGGTGGATAACCTCTCCAGCCTCTTCAACCTCACTTTCTCTCAAAAAGTTCTGCTTGGTTGGAACTAGTTCGGCTTTGATGCGTGTGGCACTCGCTGGGCTGGGCATGCATGCGGGAGCGTACGATCCCACGATCACCAACCTGGGAGGGGACTTCGCCCCAGGTAAGCATCGGAAGGTGGGGGAGTGTAAACAGAAAAGGAGGGAGAGGTGGGCCAAGGGCAAACAACGCTTGTATAAGATTGCTTCACTTCGGAATCCTAAGAGATCCAGGGCCAAGGTGTGGTTCTGCGGTGTGGAACCTGCCGCGACGCAAGGGGGGGAGGTGGTGGGATGGTCGCCAGCCGAGATCCGTCGTCTTCGATCTCAGGCAGGAGCCCCCCTCGGCCTCGCGAGCTGTGGAGCAGACCTCGAGCTTGCCTTTTCCTTGGGGCCTGAGAAGGATCCGCTTCGCCATGCCGGCGCTGCGCTGACAAGGTGCGCCAGGGAGTTTTGGTTGACCGCGTCGCAGGAGCACAGATAAGGTGATTGCCTGAGGGTGGGCGAGTTTGCCAGAATTACACCCATCATTCAGAACCATCTGGAG